TTCATATTCTTTCGTTCTTTTGTTCTTTTGTTCATTCTCTTGTTCTTTCTTTTGTTCTTTTCGTTTATTCATTAATTCTTTCGTATATATTTTTTTTTCTTAAATCAGTCACTCACTCGCCAAATGTTATTTATCGAGCTCACATACGCAATCCAGCATAACTTTTATTTATTTGCGTACCATTCAAATCACAAAAATCAAAATATCTCCAAACAAAAAAAAAAAAAAAAAAAAAAAAAAAAAAAAAAAAGGACTTAAAACAGTATCTGGATTTTACCCCTTAACAAACCCCCCAAAAATATAAAGGCTATATTTAGATACAAAAACTCATTCACAATCAAAATGTTACAGTAGAAATTAATCAAAAGCCTCAGTGTGTCGTCGTATTGCAACATGACTTAAAAACCATAATTCAAACATATAAATTATGACATTAATATTTCACATTCTGCTTTCTAAACTGGACGGTTAATTATACGATCGTTTCCATACCTGATTTCGGAGAATTAGCGGAATGATAAGTCGACTTAAGTGCTGTTTAAATTAATTTTGAGGGGAAAAAAATCTGATATTACGTTTTGAAAAGTAATTACACATTACGACGTTCCTTGCTTATGATAGTTGACCTCTGTTCCGGTATCTCCCATAACAGATTGTAGCAAACATTAGGTAAATTATACGTGGGCTATTTAGATCTTTCAAACCCTATGGGCCTACCGTAATCCCGTAGAAATTCAATTTCTTTATTTCTTCCTGGAAGATGCTAAGAATATCTTGGCCATTGTCGTAGGTGAAGTCCTCCAGACGTTTCGTAGGCATCATCTCTTGAAGAGGCTGGATAGAGGCGTTTAAAGTAAGGGCCATTGTCATGAAAGCATCATACGTCTGGAACACATACTCGTTAAAATTTGGATTTTCTCTCATGTAGATGTAATCAGCAATAACCTCTTCTGACGGCTTCTGAAATTATCCCCGTAAAACAACCAACAATAACGTTCCCGTATTTTAGAAACAACTGTGTAATAATTGTAAGTTTATATTTTATACCGTCTAAAGATATTACTAATTATGTGGTAAGAAAAAATATTTTTCGCCTATTTAAAGACGTATAAATAAGAACTACCCTCTTACAAGAGATTCAAAACGTTTATTTCGAAAACATGGTCATCAATCCATTAGAAGCCTACTACATTAATTGAAATGAATTACTGTACTGTATTAATTGAAAGGGAATGTGTAGCGTAATTAACAATACAATATACTTTGTTCCAGATCTGCCATGCTTAACTTTTGCAAAATACTAGCATTGATGCATTCAACAAGTTATCAATTACTTATCAAGTAAAAATTGTGTGCTTTTGGAACTAATATATTTGACCAGTCGTACGTATAAATTATTTATTTAATAGCAAAACATACTAATGAACGAATCGTACCTATACATTATTGATTAAATATTAAAAATGCTAATGTACCAATCGTACCTATACATTTTTGATTAAATAGTAAAAATACTAATGAACCAATCGTATCTATACATTATTGATTAAATATTAAAAATACTATTGAACCAATCGTATATATACATTATTGATTAAATAGTAAAAATATTGAAGAACCAATCGTACCTATAGGCCTACATTTTTGATTAAATAGTAAAAATACTAATGAACCAATCGTATCTATACATTATTGATTAAATATTAAAAATACTATTGAACCAATCTTATCTATACATTATTGATTCAATAGTGAAATACTAATGAACAAATCGTACCTATAGGCCTACATTTTTGATTAAATAGTAAAAATACTAATGAACCAATCGTATCTATGCATTATTGATTAAATATTAAAAATACTATTGAACCAATCGTATTTATACATTATTGATTCCATAGTGAAATACTAATGAACAAATCGTACCTATAGGCCTACATTTTTGATTAAATAGTAAAAATACTAATGAACCAATCGTATCTATACATTATTGATTAAATATTAAAAATACTATTGAACCAATCGTATTTATACATTATTGATTCAATAGTAAAATACTAATGAACAAATCGTACCTTATTGAATAAATAGTAAAAATACTATTGAACCAATCGTATCTATACATTATTGATTCCATAGTGAAATACTAATGAACAAATCGTACCTATAGGCCTACATTTTTGATTAAATAGTAAAAATACTAATGAACCAATCGTATTTATACATTATTGATTCAATAGTAAAATACTAATGAACAAATCGTACCTTATTGAATAAATAGTAAAAATACTAACTCTAATCCTACTAATATTAAGTACAGTACTTACGATGCCGTTAAAGTTCACAAGGTTGAAGTCATTTGCAATTGTTAGGCCTCTTATTCCAAAGTATCCATCAGTGACTATATCCATTTCTTCAACAGTGCAATCGACATCTGGTTGGCGCCACCATTGTCCCTGTAACCATCCAGTAAACATCCACTGATACTTGCGACCAAACAGACCCTGTCGATACGCCTGTAAATATAAATGATATGTGTAATACTGTAATGAAATGATGATGATCATCATTATAATGGTAAGTGATGATAATGACAATGGTGATGATGACAATATTTCTGTCTGAACTTTACCTCACACAAAATTAGACGGTTCATTTGTTCGTAAAAGTTGCCGATGATAATTCGTGCATCATGTTTCTGAAAAGAAATATCAAATAAGATGCGATAGGAGAATAAAATAGTTCGTTTTAATGGATTGCAGAAGAGTGCCTCTGGCGGGACTTGCGCCAAACTTCACTCTATCAAGGTGAGCATACCGCTAGACCGCAGAGAAGCATACGATATTGGCGCGGAAGACCTGTTTACACTATGACGCTGACGATCAACGATAAAAAGCTAAAAAGCATTTGTTCATATATAAAATAATAGAATTAAGAGCAGTTTTCACGATTCGATAACGATTTATTGTGTATGCCTATAAGCCTACGATAAAAGGATAATTTTATAAATCATCTCAAATGACGTGATAATCATTGGAAAACGATTTGATCGTTTTTCTACTACGATTTGATCGTTTTTCTACTACGATTTGATCGTTTTAAAATAATTTTTAGCTTTTTATCGTTGATCCTTATCGTCTTAGTGTAAAGAGGCCTTAACCCCAGACATCTCTCATATCAGAATTATGCGCTCATACATAGTGGAACCATGGTGGAGCTATGGTTGAACTAGAAACTGCTCGTAGGCTCTGCAATATCTTGTATTATACAGCTAGCGTCATATCGCTATACATTGTGACGGAGACAGAAGCCTAATGAAATCTGATGGCAACGTTAACGTATTTGAGCAACTTGAATTCATGACCACATGATTATTTCTTCCTGTCGTTAGTACTTTTTCAACATTAATGACAAAACATTAAACTTTATTAATATAAGCAGTGAACAATAGGTAGGGCATAATGAATTGCTAATTATGTACGTGTAACCGCTATTTTATACTTATTTTTAGGTACTAAGATGATTGAAAGCAACTATTAGTGACCCGGTGAATTGACATAATCACTTGCGGAGAAATAAATCTATGTATAAAAAAAATAGGTACAGGTATACAGTAATCAATTGGTTTAACTATCTGTGTTTTCAGTTCAATACAATAATGAGAAGTTTTTAAGAAACCAGAACATGGGTGGTTTTGGAGGGGCTAAACAGGCTTTGGGTCCCTACAATGTTTCCTCCTTGCATGTTTTTATTAAATAATAGCCAAATGCATGGGCTTAAATTAAATCTTTAATCTTTTTACCTTACTGTTTTATTATTAGGCCTACATATGATTTTATTTGGTAGGTAATATTTTAAGTAAAACTAAAGTCTTAACTCAAGAAACAACACTTAACATTTTACTCAAAATTTATATAATTGTCATTTCACTTCACTGTTTTATCAGTGATTTGTAGTACTGTAGTTAGGTAGAGTTTAATTAGTAATTAGTAAATGATCTTGTTTATATTTTTTTTATTTATCTGACTGCATATGAAGCTCACAAGAGTTTTAAAGTGTCTTCTTTTCTTCAACATTTTTACTATTTTACTATGTTTGTCCCATTTTATATTTTGTTGTTGAATAAAGAAAGAATTTGAATTGAAAGTATAACCACTCCTATCATCCAATAAGAGCATGGATGCTCCCTTGGTCAGGCTGTTTATTCAAACAATCTAAACAGTTTTGGTAGCTCCACCCCCCCCCCCCCCCCCCCACCCCCCCCCCCCTCTCCGCCATCCAATGAAAACGATGGCATGTTGTTAATGATGACGATGATGTCTGGCAAAGTTAATATTTACCTTCAAATTGGCAATATGTGTTGGAATTAATTTCTTGTCGGCGATGTTTTCCACAGTGACCACTTCAATGTCCTCCTCTTCAAGATCGGCTGTGAGAGCTTTAAAGTTCTAAATAAAAATTATTATACCGTAAATGCTCAAATAAACGCATCAAATAAGCTTTACAACGTTCATTACATTACTGTACATTTAACGAACTTGGCAAACCGATTACTTAACTATTATATGTAAATAAGTAAGTAACAAGTTATTTAAGTGTATTTCAATGCAGTTCGCAATCCGTCACGAATAATGTGAACTTTCTATACATTCTGTTATGACTTAGAATCAAACTATTACATTACTGTACATTTAACGAACTTGGCAAACCGATTACTTAACTATTATATGTAAATAAGTAAGTAACGAGTTATTCAAGTCGTGTATTTCAATGCAGTTCGCAATCCGTCACGAATAATGTGAACTTTCTATACATTCTGTTATGACTTAGAATCAAACTATTGCAACGAGCCATTAATAGAATCATTGGGGGTGGGGGGAAATGTGAATATTATTTGCTTGTGTAGGCCTACTTATCGAAGAAAGTGGGCATATCAGTCTAACCTGTTCTAACGTAGAGGTTGTGCGGGGCCCAGCTAGATAGGATGGTCTCGGCCAGAT